ACCTGATCCTGAAATTCGATTGGTCGTTATTACAAGGGGTGGAAAAAATTTTGTGGGACAGCTACCTAAAATATTCAAGGGCAGGGACCTGAAAAAATTGTGAAAATATTAGAAAACAATAAATCACAATTTTTATCGAATATCATATTATAAACCAATTTTGCTCTTTTATACGCAAATTTTTGAAATTGTAGTTCAATAAACTTGTATCACATACTATATATACTAACTAAATATGGTATACTATATATAATAATAATACGAGTATAGTGTTTCCTAATAATACATAATGCAAGAATACCGTATTCCAGATTATATAACATCATAGTGCTTCAGTTCTAATACGTGTAATAAAATGAAAAATTTTTCAAAACTCATTTTCTGAAAAAATATTATTTTAAAATTTTTAATATAAATTTGATTAGTCAAATGGACTTTTCATATAGCAAATATGATAGCTAAAATTTATTAATAATATTCAGATATTCTAATATCCATATTTTAGGATAATTACAATGACTTCTTATTTCTTGTATTCTATTTTAATTCTAAATCTTCCAATTCTATATCATGTACATACATCCCAAACTCTGCGCTATCTGCCATTACTTTTTTTGCTTCTTCTAATCCAATTTGTCGATCTTGAGCAATTAGTCTAACTGCGGTTTCGGGAACAAGCACTTCACTAAGATACTCTTCAGGATTCTGAGGTTTGGTCATTTTATATGTTAACTTCTTTGATTCAATAAGAATATTAAGTGTGGATCGAATAATAAACATTCCCTTAGAACCATAGTAGCCTGGCTAATTTAGAATATATATGTTAATACCTTATAAAATTTTAAAAAACAAAATTTTATAAAAAAATTAACATACTATAAAGTTTTGAAACCTTCCAATAACCGCAGTTGGTTTTCTTGCACCCTTTCCTAATGAATTATATACACTTATTGCCAGGTCCCTAAATGTACTTTTTGTTTTTCTAGCTGCAATATCTAACAATTCAGAAAATAAATTTCTGGTACAATTAGGTTGATCATCAAAATTAATTATTAATGGATAATTCTTCCGTTGACCATCTGGAATAATCTGAGATTCTGCATCATAGAGACAACAAAATTCATATTGAGATACGATATTTGGAAAGCCAAGATGTGATTCCATATATGATTTTATACGATATGGAAGTGGATATGGAAGATTTATTTTGCAAAAAGGGCATTGTTTTAGACTTGAATTGTTATCTATAAAATTGTTATTTATAAAAATTATTACTTTGTTTTAATATATATCCAATAATTTTAAAACTACCAAAGTGGTCTTCAAAAATACGGGTACGTGAGTTATGCCACTTGCTATAATTGCAGCAAACAAATCAATACGTACGTACGTACTAGGATGGTTACTCAACTAGGTAAATCAAAACTGTGAGCAACGTACGGAATTTGATATAATAGATTTTCATGTTACACTATATCAATATTACAACCATTTTAAAGATACATTCTAAATGTTTCAACTCATTATTGAAACATGGAATTGCCTTGAAATTTTCACAAGTTGTTTATAAAATGTTCAAAAATAAAACTATGTATTTTAAAATCCTCTCTTCATATGTGTGGTTTGGGGTATTGGTCTCGCGGAATGCGTTAAATCTTCTTGAGCACAACTAA